TCATTTTGCATTCCCACCAGTACCGTGAAAGAATTCCTGTTGCTCTGTAGTTTTGTCAGCATTTCATATTGGCAGTATTTTTTATTTTAGTTATTCTGTGTGTTGTGGTATATGTCATCATAGTTTTAATTTGCTTTTGCCTAGTGACTAATGATGTTAAAATCTTTTCATATGCTTGCTATTTTTATATCCTATTTAATGAAGCATCCATTCATATCTTTTAATTTGGATTGTTTTCTTATGCTTAAGTTTTGAGCATTCTTTACATATTCTGGATACAAATTCTTTGTCAGATACGTGATTTGCAAGTTTTCCCCCAGTCCATAGCTTATCCTTTTATTCCCTTAAGCATGTCTTTGGTAAAGCAAAACTTTCATTTTGATGAAATACAGATTATCAGTTTTTTTCTGTGTGGATCATGTTTTTGTTCCTATGTCTAAGAACCCATCATCAAACTGAAAGACAGATTTTATTCAATGTTTTTTTTTATATTCAATGTTTTATTGTAAAATTTTTATAGTTTTGCATTTAGATCTAGTTTTAGAGTTTATTTTTCTATAATGTGTGGATTTTAATGTCAAGGTTCTTTTTTGGCATAAAGATGTCCAAGTGCTCCAACACCATTAGTTTTTATTTATTTATATTTATTGATTTTTCATCATTAGTTTTTTAAAAAACTATCTCCATTGAATTGTTTTTTGCACCATTGTCAAAAATCAGTTGACCATATTTGTGTGGATCTTTTTGCTTTTTGTTGATTTATTTTTCTTTCCCTTCTGTGATACCACACTATCTTGATTACTTTGGATTTATGGTAAATCTTAAAAATAGGTAGTGTGAATCCTCTAAATATGTTCATCTTTTTCAAAATTGTTTTATATATTCGAGTTCTCATGCTTTTCCATATAAATATTATAATGAACTGGTTGATATCTGTAATAAAGCTCATGAGATTTTCATTGAAATTATTTGATTATGATGCATTTAGGTGTAGATATTTTGGGGTTTGTCCTTTTTGGAGTTGGCTAATAGCCTCTTAAATTTGTAGGTTTATTCACCAAGATTGGGAAGTTTTTGCCATCATTTCAAATGTTTTTCTAGCACTCTCTGATTTATCACTGTATTCAGAGTATTTCAAAAAATTTTTGCAGCACTGATTCAGCACTGTATTCAGAGTCCTTTCCAGGACTCTGATAACATAAATGTTACATATTTCTTGTCTCCCACAGGTCTCTGAGATTTTTTTTTTCCTGGTCTATTTTCTCTGCCATTCGGAGTGGATAGCTTTTAATGGTCTATCTTCCACTTCATTGACTCTTTCCCCTGTTCCATTTGCTGTTGAACCCATTCTGTGTGGTTTGGTTTATTTTTGTTTTGTTCTGTTTTTTTAGTAATTGATATAAAATTTCCATTTGGTTCTTTTTTCTGTCTTCTATTTTGTTTTAATATTTGTTGCAAGATTATTTTTGATGGCTTGTTCGAGTATTTTTATAATGGCTGCTTTAAAGTCTTTGACAGATAATTCCAATATTGATGTCATCTCAGTCTTATCTGTTGATTGTTTTTCTTCCATGAGTTGAAATTTGTGTGGAGTAATTTTTTATCGTAGTGTGGACATTGTATTATGTTATGAGATTCTGAGTCTTAGATTCTATGGAGAATGGCAATCTATTTCTAATAGGTAGTCAACTTGGTTAGGTTCAGAATATAATTACCAATCTGCCTTCTGTGGGCTATGGTTCCAAGGTCAGTTCAGCTTTCAAAGATTGTAGTTTTGTTTGGATCTATTTCAGGTTTGCACTACTCAGTATGGGACCTAAACTCTCTGGGACCTAGTTGACTGGATAGTTTAGGTTGTTTTTTTTTTTTTTTTTTAAGATTATATTTATTCATGAGAGACAGAGAGAAAGAGGCAGAGACATAGGCAGAGAGAGAAGCAGGCTCCATGGAGGGAGCCTGATGTGGGACTCAATCTCAGGGCCCCAGGATCACATCCTGGGCTGAAGGCAGGCGCTCAACCACTGAGCCACCCCGGCGTCCCAGATAGTTTAGTTCTAAAGGTGTTTTGGTATGCTGAATAGGATCACATCCAAGCATTAGTGACTGGATGGTATTCCTTGGAGTTCATAAACAACTTTATGAGTAACTTCTCATATCTGTGTGGCTCTGTCTCATATCTTCATGACTGAGCCTACATCCTGACCCATGTGGAGAGACAGAAAAAAGCAACAGGGGCTTGTTCTACTCTTTTGAAACCATAGCTCCACTAAACAGAAAAACCCCCTCCTCTTGTATTGTAGCTCTTGTGGGTTTCCATAGTTCTTGGCCACTACTGCAGAATTGCTTGGGAGAAGTCTTTGGAAGCCAATAGGAAGTCTTTGCTCCAACTACTAGAACTACAAATGTAGTAACTTTGTCTTGTTTTGAAGTTCTGTAGAAATCTATGATCTGTGTACAAATTATTGCTCAAGGGGAAGTAGTTATGATGCACATACAGGACAGATAACCCCTGTAAAGTTAAACAGCAGTTTGATCTAACATTAATGCCTATGGTGGGAAAACAGTGATGGCTCATTAGATATTATTTTACTTATCATTTTGGAAGTGGTATGATATTTCCAAAGTCCGAGCCAAATGGCAAGATTTTAATTGCTGTAAAACTGTACTATAACTGAATGTGAATCTGAATTTCGTGTTTATTTATACAGTGTCACCCTTTTAAAATACTATTTCTGCCTACATTCATGAAATATTCTTTTGAATGCTTTTGTTTTTGCATTGTTTTTAATCCTTTGGTTTTAGCAGTGGCTCTTACAAGAATTTTTTACATTAACCATTTTCCCAGGAGGAATTAAACTTATTAAATTCATCCATTTTTCCAGTAAATTTTGATTGCCTAAAGTGTGCCAGACTCAATGCATTGGAGTATGATCTTACTGTTACCATTGTTACTTCACTTGGTTTTTAGGAATTTAGCAGATAAAGTTGAAATATACACTTAAATGTTAACAGCATGTGCTAAGCCTGAACTTTATGGTAGACATTTTTTTTTAACCTAGAAATAGGGCTGAATGAACCAATAGATTGTTTGAATGAACTAGAATCCCATTGAAATACTGTTGTCTTAAATTTCCGTCCTTTTTACAGAATGAAAAATATTAAATTGCTCATTCTGTCTACATCTATTGGACCAGCTGGCCTCTCCCTGTCTGCTGTTTCTCTGGCCTAGAGTAATGATAAGTTTATTGTCATACTGTGGGTAATAAGACTGGATAAGGAGGAAAGGAAAAGCATTATGAGTTTCTAAAGTTGTTCAGAGGAATTTGTATTTGATGAGCATTAGGGAACCGCTCCAGATTCCTGAGCTGGAGGATTGAAAGTGAAAACTGAGAAGCTCACTTAGTACAACACAGGGTGGCTTCTTGGGGAAGGAAACTAAGGTCTAGATAAAGATTAGGTAGTGAAGTATCATAATAAGTAACTTGCTTAAATCAGAATGTAAACAGAGTAGGCTGCTCTGAGGCAGTGGTGAGGGTCACTGTAGAGTTTCCTTAGGCCAGAGGCTAATTCTAGAGAACACAGGAAAGGCAGGGAGTCCCTGGCAGGTGCTCTAGATCTAACAGGTCAAAGTCCAGTGTGCAGAAGGGCCAGCAGAAGGTAATCAGGAAGCCAGGCTAGAGGAAATGTTTTCAGAGTGCCTGGGCAAAGGTCTGATTCAGCAGAAATTCCTCCTATTTCCTGCCTTAAGGCCAGAATGTGTTTGTGCTGATGGCTGGGAGAGGGGTGCATGGAGGTGGCTAAGCCAGGCCTGGGAAGCTATGTAGTTCCACATAGCGACCGCACGTCATCAATGACACCCTAGAATAAGACAGTGGGGATGGAAAAGGGCAATTTAAAAGATTTCAAAGGAATGAAGGGAAGGACTTTGCCACAGGGAATTTAGTAAAAGAAAGGGACAAAAACAATATTTAGATTTCCAAGAATTATGTAAGGGATTCTGACAGAAATTGGTAGTTGAGAAGAGATTTGGGTGGAAAAAGTTTATTTTCTTTGTTGATTTTGAGATGTTAGTAGTTCTGCCGCAGATGTGACGAGAAGTAAGCCTCTGAGGGCCTTTGATTAACTTCTAAAAAATAAAGACTGAAACCATGTTAGCAGGAGCTATGGAAATGGTGGAAAGAACACATCAGAAGCACAGTCAGACCACAGAAAGTATTCAACGGCAGATGCACCAAGTATAAAGCCCATATTGTGAGGCAGAGATTGATAGGCTGTTTTGCTAAAAGAATATGTCTGAGAAGGTGGGAGGAATGAGATCTAGGGTGGAGAAGCTATTTTTTTTTAATGCTTCAGATCAGAGGGAAAAATTTGGAAAGATAACAAAGGCTCATATCTGGTTTTGGCCTTTGTTTCCTATAAATTGAGGTCATGCATAGAGGATGAGGTAAAAGAACAATTTGGGGTTAATGCAAATATCTAGAAATAAATACCGTGAGATGTGTTTATAAGGTAAAATAATGGGTAGGAAACTGGGTGTTATACTATTTGTTGGCAAATTGAATTTAAATATTTTTTAAAAAATGGATAAGAGCCACAAGGGGACCTTCACATAAGGAAGGTTAAGTGGAGGGATCCCTGGGTGGCGCAGCGGTTTGGCGCCTGCCTTTGGCCCAGGGCGCGATCCTGGAGACCCGGGATCGAGTCCCACGTCGGGCTCCCGGTGCATGGAGCCTGCTTCTCCCTCTGCCTGTGTCTCTGCCTCTCTCTCTCTCATTCTATGTGACTATCATAAATAAATAAAAAAAATTAAAAAAAAAAAAAAGGAAGGTTAAGACCTTTCCAATCTCCTAGCACCTGCTCCCTCAGGTAGTTCTCCTGTTTCCTGGTCCTGAACACCATTCTTTCCCTTTCATTCCTTAAGTCCCCCAGTACTGATTCCAATCATTGTTAGGTTCACGATGTTCTTTTCAATTTATCAAACTGATACAACACAATTCAGGTGAAGGTTTTGAAACAAATTTTATTGGAAGAATTTTGATACAATTGTTTATTCTTTTAAATACATCTGAAGTTAAAATATATACATGAATGCCTTCAAGTAGAAAAAAGTGGAATATACATGATGGATTTGTTGTATTATACTTAGGCAAATTATAATTGCTCACTTTAAGCACATTCAAACCAAATTACAACACAGTCCTAGAAATCTGACATTCCAATCTAGCCTTGTACTCAAGACGTTTGTTTAGAAATGTTTTGATGCCATAATCTTCACCAAAGGGAACCAAACCCAAGTTTAAACTTGGCCGTATAGTTAGAAACCATTAAAGACAGGGAGGTAAAGTGTTGTAGGGGTTTTTAGAATATACTGAGAAGGGATTTGGCAATTTTTAATTCACAGTATTTCTGATATAAAAGATCCATTCTCTTTGCTGATCAAACTCAAAAGTGCTGGGGCAAAATACCACTTGAGAAGAAGTATCACTGAATTTTTGCCGTTGGAGGAAGCAATGGGATTACTTGGCAAACTCTTGACAGGTTACATCTAGTTCAAAATAGAATCTTCATTGAGGCTAACTGATGCATGATATGTGGTACATACACAAAATTCAAATACTAAGATTCAGAATAAAGCTTTTTTTTTTTCACTAGTAAAGGGCACATTTTACCGTAGCAGCAGCAATTAAGAGAGATGAAAAAATAAGAAATATAGGGTGTACTAAAATTTAGCATTCAGAGGGGAAAAAGAAATAAAAAAGGATAAAAACTATTCTAGGAATATTTAAATCACTAAATGAATACATGTAGTGTTTGTTTTTATAGAAGCACCTTCATGATACACCACTCAAGGAGTTTTGGATAATAATAGATCCGGGAATGAATGAAACAAGGTATGTTCTATGCAGATCCTTAAAGTAATAATATAAATATGGCAATTTTCCACAGAAACCAAGGAGGCAGTGTGGTGTCTCATTTGGCAATACATAATGTAAAAATTCAAGTGACTTCCACATTGAGCTTCCACAAGTCCTAGTTTTGCCAAATTTCTATCCAACAACATGGATCACATCTCTGTATGTCTACTGTTCCTGGATTAAAATTGAGAAACAGCTCACAGGGCTCCTTGAAAAAAAATGGCCAAAGTGGATACGAAGTCACTTATTTGTGCAAAAATGCCAAAGAAAAGCTGAGGCATCTTCTGTAATAAACAATAAATTACTGGTTCTATCTGGCCCCAGCCCTTACGTTTGTATCCGCTACTATCTACAGTATTTACTCACCAGTTAACCAGCACTTACTGTGCATGTGAGTTCATACTAAATTTGGGGATAATGCAATAGATGATGAGACAAAGACATTCTTTTTTACAACCTTTCCAACATCATCAGAATTGCAGATTCTAAATTTTCAAAGCCATGGGAAACGTTCAAAGTTCAATACTATCATTAAGCATAGATTACTACTGATTATGAAACAGATTTCTTCCTGGAAAAGGTGTCTATGAAATGCAATGTTGTACATTCTCAGGTCCCTCTCAAGCAGCAAAAATTATTTGTACTTCTTGAAAGCTAATTCCCTCATCAATTAAATTAATCTCTGTTAGCCAGGATGAACTCAGTTTCTACTTACTTACACTGGCAAGGACTCTTCAGAGTCTGTCCCTTCTTTTAAGCAGCTTACTGTGAACATCAATACAACTTTTTTTTTTTTAAAGGTTTTAAACATACTTAAAGGAGATCTGCTTACTCTTTTGAGTCCGCACAGTTTAAATTCAATGCAAAGGTAGGAAATATGGAAATAAGCAGGAGAGCATGAATGAAGGAATGAGTTTAAGCCATGTATATGGAACAACTGCTACCCCATAATTAATTTTGTCACGGTAATTGTTTGCTGATTTTATTGAAGAGTCTGTTCAAATGTGCTACAACTTCTTTGATCTCTAAACCACTGTAGAAGACACACATAAAACAGAGTAGTCATCAGAAAAAGCACTGGATTTAAGGTCAGTGCATTACCACTGGCTATCCCTCAGGCAAGTCATTTAAATTCTCCTACAACAGCTTCCTCATCTGTAAAATGTGGTTATGAATTCCTTCCCCAGGGAAGGTATTTGAAAATGCTCTGTCAATCATAAAAGCAGGCAAGATTTCTTTCTTTACTGAAATGTGAGAATTTCAAATGTGACAACGACATGGCAAAGGCCACACAAAGACACAGGAATACTTAATGAAGGTGGACTCCCACCCTTTCCATATAATTTGTAGTCGGGAAATGGTTGGACACAAACCAAAGAGGCCCTTATCAAAAAGACTGACATCTATTTGGCCTTTAAATATAACTATACTTCTCTGCAGATACTTTTGATACATACTTTTTCATTGTATGTAAGTCTATCTCTCGATGGTAGAGATCTGGATCACTAAGGCTTCTGGTAGGTCTTGTCTTGAAACAATATTCTTCCATTAATAAAACTTTTAATGAGTATTCTTCAAAAAATAAAATTTTTCCCCAAAGCTCTATGAATTGGAAAATAATTTCTTTTTTGAAGATGGTGACAGAAAAAAAGTTCAATTTTATCAAGGTAATGCTTTCTTGTTGAAAGTAAGCAATTTAACATTTGGCATTCTATTGAATTAAAAGACTTGTTTTGTTCTGTATTTCATTTAATGCCCAATTTTGTGTGGCTCTGAGAATGTCAAAAATCCAAAAGCCCCGGTAAGTGAAAACTAAAGTGTCAAGACTGAAATGGTTTGACCTGTGAGAATTAGCCTGGTTTCTGAAAAGTACCAGCTCACAGAATATATACAAAATAAAGAAAACTAAGCAATCCTTAAATTGGACTTAGCCTTGGGCAATTAACAGAAAAATTCACTCCCAAGTTAAAAGTATCCAAAGCACAGATGTCATCATATTTTAAAAATCAGGAATTGGTTTCATAAGAGTAAAAAAGTAAAGGAGTACAAAAATTATATCTTCCATAAAGAATATGCTAAACCTCGTAATGGAAATAATATTCTAAACCTCGTCATTACTTATGAAAAATAAGACAATAAAACTCCATTTATAAAGTGCCTTAATGTACCAAAAATGGAGGTCAGCTTTCCTTTATTTACAAATGCTTTTTCATCACATTTACAGAAAGGCAAATATTACACTGAGAGGCAGCACAGTAGAGTAGAAAGAACTCGACTTGGAGTCAGAAGACCTGGATTTTGGTCTTGGCTTTGCCACTAATTACCTCTGTGACCTTGAGTAAATGACAGCATTTCTGGGCTTCATTTTTCTCATCTGTAAAATGAGAGGTAGAACGAGGCTGCTTTTAAGGACAGTCCCTCAGATGTAAAACTCTGTGTTAAGCAATCAAGTATTTTTGATCTTACGTGCCAGCGTTGTAGGAGGATGCCACCGTATTAATAATCTTTAGAAAACGGATTATTCCATAGTAGGTGAAAACGCTGTGGAACGCTGGGCACCCGCCTCGGAGTGGCCGCCTGGGCTGCTCTGTGACGGTGCCCAGGCCCAGTATTTTGCTGGCTGGTGTGGGCGCGGCGGCTCGGAGATGCGATGCCGAGCTCCTGCTGCCTCGGGCCTCTGCAGAGCCAGCCTGGTTCACAGGAGGGAGAGCAGGGGCAGCAAGGCGGCGTCCTGCGCACCGCAAGGCCTGCGAGCGCGCAGCCCAGATTTTAAGACACAGAGCTAACGTAGGTCTATTTCGGTTTGGGGATGTTTACTTAGCAAGGTGATTCTCCCGCAGCAAAACAAATTTGTTCTCCAGAGAATATTTGGATGTTTCAAATACTAGCAGAACTACGGAGAGCCCCCGCGCCCACCGCTGCCCCAAAAGTTAGCTCAACGGCAGAGCATCTCACATCTACTACATCGGGTAGCACCTGTCAGTGGAATTATCCACGTGAGCGGTAGGTCTGTGCCAAAACCTAGAAGGCAGACTGTTTGTTAGAACGAGAACAAAACTGCTTTTTCGCACACTAATTTGTCACTGCCGCGCACACGGGTTTCAGGACATTTAATTAAAGCATAAAAGTCGACGCCAACCTGCCAAATGACAGGAGCTGGAAACCTCTCAGAACAGGTGCAGAGCTGGAGTTCCACAGCAGGCGCGCTCGGCCGTATCAGAGGCAGAAGCACACGCCCGAGCACTTGTGTCCCGCGAGCACAGTCAGGGGCTGCCTGCTGCCACGAGGACTTCGCGGACGGGAGGGCTCGAGGAAAAGCAGAACTGCAGCTTCACTACGCACTGGGCACGGTCACAGGCCAGGGCAAGCCCCGTCTCCACATGTGAACAATCCGTACGATTACATATCGGCTTTTAAAGGCACACATCCAGGGCCGCCCGGGGGGCTCAGCCGGTTGAAGGGCCCGCCTTCGGCCCAGGGCGCGATCCTGGAGCCCCGGGATCGAGTCCCACGTCGGGCTCCCTGCAGGGGGCCTGCTTCTCCCTCTGCCTGGGTCTCTGCCTCTCTCTCTCTCTCTCTGTGTCTCTCATGAATAAATGAGTAAAATCTTTGAAAGAAAAGAAAATAAAGGCACACATCCAAGCATTTTCCACAATATGCCAAAACCCACAGACTCTCCCAGGCCTCTATCAGGCTCTGCTCTGAAGCGGACGCACAATCCCAAATGACCACTTACACTTACAATGAAAAAGCAGCACACGGCCAGGACACTGCCTTGTATACTTTCCCTCCTAAAATGTCGCAACAACTGTCTTAGTTAAACACATTCTACTGCAGGAATTCTTAGCTTTAGAACTGGCTGGCAGTAAGTAAGGAGGCTTTGAGAATACTGCTTAATCTGCAAAAAGGAGGCTGTCAACAGCTCGTAGTAATCCACAGCAGTTCAGAGAAGCATAAAGAAAGTTGTCTAGTTTTCCTAATACACTTTAGTTCATAAATTGTAGATCGGAAACAGGGAGAAAGAGACAAAATCAACAGTGATTTCTCCCTCCTCGGTGAGAAAAGGATCATGGGTGTATGTTCTGAACAATTGTTTCCAGCCTACAGAGTTTTTTCTCCCAAAGAATTTTCAGTTTTTTAAAGTTAAAAGGGAACATACATTATGATAAAATGAAGAACAATGGGTATATGTCTATCCAGATCAATATTTCTTCAAAAACAGAATATCTGACTGTTCAAGCACCTGTCATCTCAAATCACAATTTTATTTTTCAAATACACAAGAACCTAGAAATCAACTTATTTATTAACTTCTAAGACACCTGTTTTTCACAATTGATCTGTATCTTCAATAGTTCAAACTCAATAAAATGCTGCTTTTAGGATTTCTTAAAGCAACTGTATTTGTACAATGCTTGCACCAGAAAATAAAACTTGGCATTTGAATGACTTGGCATTTGAAGAATGAAAAAACAAAGTAACATCACAACCATTTCTGTTTTCACTCTACATCACCTTTCATTAATAAAATCCACAGGGGTGCCTGGGTGGCTCAGTCAGTTAAGCATCTAACTCTTAATTTCAGCTCAGGTCATGAACTCAGGGTTGTGAGATCCAGCCCCCTGTGGGGCTCTGCACTGGGTGTGGAGCCTGCTTAAGATTCTCTCTCTCCCTCTGTCCCTATGCCCCTCTGCTCTGTCTCTCTCCTCTCTACCTAAAAAAATAAAATAAAACCCATAAAAACAACAAGGAGACATATAGGGAAGTTTTCACAGACACAGTAGCTTTCAGAGAAATTTGGGACTTAGCAGATGCTTTAAGTAAGTCAAAATAATCGTCTATATAACAGATGCATTTGCAAAGTTTTGAAAACACAGTCCACAGAATAATTTAATGTGATAATTGATTTAGAAAGCCAAACACCTTGTGTTTTTGATGACATAGAGTAATAAGAGGAAACTTCATATAGTTAAACCTATGCTGGAAGTACACAATCTGTATACATCACTTACTAAGTCTTACTTTGTACAGATTATAGAACCATCCATTAAAAAAAAAACAACATATGCATGACCTTTGATGGTACATTTTTATGCTGGCAAATACATTTTCTGATACAAAGGCACTTTGAAAACCCAATATGGTTTGGTTCTTAAGTTTGCAAGGTACAAACAATTTTACAAACATAAGATTATACCGAAGAATGTCAACCATTGTGACATTATATATAAAACAATATCCATTTCTTTTTTTTTTTTTAATAACACTAGTTTTGTGGAAATGAAAGCAGTGGTTTCCAGCAGCTTCAGTGAAGACATTTCCAGATGACTGCAAGCCCATCAGTTGAATTCTTACTGGCTAGGATGACGACTAGGAGTAAGGGCATTTTTGAAATGACCAAAAAAAAAAAAAAAAAAAAAAGTAAACAAATAAAAAGTAACACCCTGGAACAAAACTGCAAACCTCAGAAATCAAAATGATTTGGAGGGAAGAGCACAAAGACAAAACCAAAAGTCCAGGAGAGATCCTCTTAATTCTGATCCCTTAGCCATGAGCTCCCGGCAGAGCACCAACTGCTGAGGCTACCTGGCCTACTTGGTGCTGGGAAATTAGAGTGATGATTTTTTCTGTTTTAAAAAGCTAGGTACAAGGTTTTGGATTGTACAGTACCGGAAACATCAGGTCCCCCAAAAAGGATCATTTCTTTTCATTCATTACATGGCTGCAAAGTCAATCTGTACATAAAGCTGTCTCACTCCAGCCTGAAAAGTTAAAAAAAAAAAAAAATCAGACAAACCAATAGCAGACTACACATTTCAGAAAAGTAATAGAAAACAATCTCATTTTTTTTTTTTTGAAAAAGGAAAGCATTATTTTTCTTTTCTGCCTCTGGAAAATAATTCTCCATTTTTCATCAGAAAGGGCCAGTAATTTTATCTTAGAAATAAGTACATTCATAATTGCAAAAAGATCCTCCATTTACCTCTACAGAAGAAAGCCACGCTACTGATTACAAACCGTGTCCAAGTGAAATCTGGAACAATGAGCAGCTTCTATCACTCTGTTAGAGAACACAACAGTGCTTGCCTAATTGGCTACTAAAATCATGTATCGATCCAGTCTCAATTTTCCTGGGATGGATGCTTAGTAAATACTTAAGTATGACCATCTGTTGGTTATTTAATTACTTCACATTCTAACGCCTCTCTTCAGTTTTGGATATGAACCTGCTGTTCAAGGACTGCTCTCAAAATTGCTCCCAGCTCTCCGATATTATTTTTGTATATTTGCTGCCTACAGTTCCTTTTCTCTCTTCTCCCTTGAACACATTTCAACCGAACTACTGCCACCCACCACTTTGCAAAGCTGTTTGTCAAGGTCACCTCCAAGTTGCTCAGATCGGTGCTCATCCGTCGGGCCTCTTAGCATTTACTCTATGGGCAACAAGGACACAGGCGCTCACTCTCTCCAACTGACACGCTTTCTCTGGCTTGGCTTCTGGGGAACACTCGCTGATGACCTTTTACCTCGATTATCAGTCTTCCTCAATCTCCTTTGCTGGTTCTTCCTTCTACCTTTGAGCACTAAGCACTGCAATACCCAAAGGCTCAGTACTCAGATTCCTTCTTTTTCTACATTTGCTCCCTATCTGATGTCATCTAGTATCCAGACCTCTGGCACCATCTGTGTGTATGCTCACACCTCTCCTATTTACACTCCCACACCGCAACCCACCTGCCATCTACCTGACAGTTCTACCTGGGTGTCTGACAAGGATTAAAACAGAGCCAAACAGGGATCCCTAGGTGGCGCAGCAGTTTGGCGCCTGCCTTTGGCCCAGGGCGCAATCCTGGAGACCCGGGATCGAATCCCACGTCAGGCTCCCGGTGCATGGAGCCTGCTTCTCCCTCTGCCTGTGTCTCTGCCCCTCTCTCTCTCTGTATGACTATCGTAAATAAAAAAAATAAAATAAAAAAAATTAAAAAAAAAAAACAGAGCCAAACAAAACTCTTTCCTCCCCTCAAGCCTGGTGATCTTATATCTTCTACAGTTCCATCCTTTATGTTATAATTTAAAGACCTTTTATTCTCTCACCACCCAACCTATTAAGAAAAACTTGCTTGCCTTACTTTCAAATAGCACAATCCCAGAATCTGACCACATTACATCACTTCCATTGCTGTGTTCAGTGTGGCTCACCCATTATATAATGTAATCTCTACAAAAAAAAAAAAAAAAAAAAAGGATTTTGTCTTTTTTTCATTGCTGACTCCTAGCATCTCAAATAGTGCCTGGCACATAATAAGTGATCAATAAATGTTGTTTATTGGATGAACAGAAATTCTACTAAATTCCTTCTTTCAAATAAAAATCACTTTTTAAAATTAAAAATTAAAGCATACAGTAGCTATAATAAGCTTTTTCTTTTCAGTACCATAGAATGAAAGGTAAATTAGAATATTAATGGAAAGGGAAAAAAAACCAGAGTGGGGAATAAAAATCTATCAACACTACTTCTTTTTTATCCTAGCATAAATGGATGGGCTCTGTACAACACTAATGAATGTGTTGAGAAGAGCAGAGAATATTCAAATGGAATAAAAAGCTGGTTAGACCCTAGAAGGTCACTAACATAGAAAACATTTTAGCTTTCTTTCCTTATTAAAAAAATAAGAAAATAAAATTTAAAAATCCTTGCTGTGGTCAAGTTAAAGTTGTTACTCAAAATTATTTGTTCTTCAAATTTATGGAAACTAACTTAATAGCAGCCTTTCCTTGAAGAGGCTTATGGCAGGAAAAAAAGAGCTTAATATCTGTATGATTTTTGAGCTAAGATTTAAAACCAAACCTTAGTTTTTCTCATTTTAAAAGCATTGAAAGATACCAAGTCTACTTATTTCACAAAACTGTTATATGTTTATCCAAAATTTGACAAGTATTTAATAAACCCATGTTACATCTCAGGCACCACTGTAAGGACTATATGTGAATATATGAGAAAGGATCTCATATGCTATAAAAGGCTATTAAAAATTATTATGATTCATCCTAAGTCTATTTGATTTTGCAGATGGTCTCCAAAATAACTAAGGAACTCTTCTTTGAAATTCTTGTGTATCTAACTCTAAGGAAAAAAGAAAAAAACAAAAAACAGCTACTGCCCAAATAAATTGGCTTAATTCCTTTTCTCTCTTAACAAAATTGTTGATGAAAGTAAAATGGTCAAAATAAGTTGGGCTCCTATTACTGTGCCTGCCGTTCCCTCACAGCCCCCCTCAATACAATGAAGATGATAATAAGAAATGAGGTTAGCCCAAGGCAATAAAAAAGAGGAAAAACAAAGAGGCTAGGTAAATTGTTCTTTGCATAATCATGAGTTAATTACTCAAGCTTATATCTTTCCCTTGAGGGGCTACCGCTTTACATAAAAGCTCAGTCTGACAGAAAAAGTCATTTTGCTTCAGCCAGCTGTCCTGAGGGGGATGGCTTCAAGTTTTCCAGCTTCCCATGTTCCTTTCTCAATGTCCTTCAAAGCAGAGAGAGAAGCAGAATTTCCAAAGAATCCCATAGTGAGTCACCTCCTCCCTGAGTGCAAACTAGGTTTTCTATACAGTTTATCCAGACCATAAATACGAGACAACTACTTCAGCAGATCCGAACAGGTCTTGGTTGCGTCAAACTTGGTACCACTGGGTACCACTGGGACGGCCCCAGGAGTCAGAGCCTAGCCCGGTCTTTAAAAGCCCTTTCTTTAAAAAGTGAAAACCATATCATCTTCATTGTGTCTTAGGCCAGGAGAGTAATGTAAACCATAATTCAGGCAACACTTTTTAAAATCGTTAAGACTATAATTTTTTAAAGGTTTTGTTTATTTGATTTTATTTGAGAGAGACAGAAAGAGAGCAAGCAGAGGCAGAGGGAGAAGGCGAAGCAGGTTCCCTGCTCAGCTCAATGTGGGGCTCGATTTTAGGACCCCGAGGTCATGACCTGAGCTGAAGGCTGACGCCTAAACCCGCTGAGCCATCCAGGTGCCCCAAGCCTGTTCTTTTAAACACACGGGCTCCTAAGAAAATAAATATTAACTTGGTGCCCTAAGCTTATAAATATTCAATTCAGTGCTGTGGAAAGGAAAACAAATCAGAAGCAAAAGAAAAAAAAAGAAAGGAAAAAGAAAAATACACAAGAATACGGCTGTAGAAAATTACTGGTTTATACTAACAATTCCACAGAAACGTTCTACTTTAGTTTCTGACCGAGCATGTAACATTAATCTTTACGCTTTTAAAATGAGGTCCTGAAAATTGCCTTAGTCTTCCGTGTGAAACCTAAACCATCTCGGAATTAGTGAAACGGTGAGTGAATGTGACAAAATTACACGTTGCGAGCAGCAGCTTGGGCCCGGCTTCCTTCCGTGACCCGCGAACAGCAGCACCTGTCGGGACGAGGCGCGGGTGAGGCGCGGGGCAGCGGTTACAGCGCTGGGGGGGGGGGGCTCCCCGAGGGCCCAGCTGAACCCCCCCCCCCCCCCGCCTCTATCAACCTACCAGCCCGACCAGCGAGGGTTCGAGGCTCGGATTAATACAAACCACAAGCCCAGGGCCTTGCTGGCCTCCCCCCCAAGCTGTTCGCGCCGCCTCCTCGGGAGGTTGGGTTCTGGCAGACCCAGGGTGAAGGGGATGGGGGAGGGGGAGGGAGAGGAGAAGGTAACGGAAGGGGGAGGGGAGGGAGGGGAGGGAAGGGGGAATGGAAGGGAACGGAAGGGGGAGGGGGAAGGGAGGGGAAAGGGGAGGAAGGGGGAGGGGAGGAAGGGGGAGGGGAGGAGGGGGGAGGGGAAGGGACTTGGAACGGGGAGGGGAGGGAAGGAAAACGGGAGGGGGAGGGGAGGGGGGAAACGGGAGGAGAGGGGGGAGGGGAGGGCTGGCAGGCGGACGCTTACCCTGCCACTTAGGAAAGATGACGACCTTCCACAGCCCGGAAAGCCGCGAGCGTGGCGGCAGCTTCTCCCACCCGCTGCCCAAGCTCCGGCGGCAGGAAGGGATCAGCAGCTTGGAGGACGGGGAGGTTCCTGAAACTTGGGGAACTCCTATTTGGGCATGTGAGGAGGCTTTCTGGTTCCTTCCTGGGTATCAGGGTGAATTCTATTTTGAGGCTAGTGGATAGGCCACAAAAAGCTGCAGCAGGAAGCTGGGGGCTCAGGATTTATAATATGCAAAACAAATAGGCAGGAGAGGAGAAGAGATGAAAGAAACCAAGACCGAAGTCCTATCAGGGAGTAAATAGCATGACTTAGGCTGGATTGTCTTCTCTGCTTTGTGGAACTGAAGAGGGCAATGAAGCGGAAGTACATTCGAGATTTTTCTTCAAACAGTATTTCTAACAAAACAGTATATTAAAAAAATTAACAGATGATATCAGCAAGTTTGAGAGACCCATAAAAGGTTAAATTGCCATCTTAATCCAGTATCCTACTTTCTCTTCCTGTTCATAGACTAAATATAAAAGATAAGTTTTGTATTTCATCAATTCCCAACCAAGAACTCATTTTTAAAAGTTAGTGAGGGGAGAATGGGAGAGAGAACTTTTTCTATGCCAAAAGAAAACCCTGTAGTTTAAAAATTGGATTATCCCTTACCTAATAACCCCGAAGGAATCTAAATTCACCAATTCACTTGTTTTACTCTATTCATGCACACACAGCCTTAGCTGGCCATTAAAGGCTGATACCATAGAAAATGAGAATAAAACGGACAGTTCTAAAATAGTCCTGAAGCTTACAGTTTTATCAACAGAATACAAACTTGAAATTCTTAAGCCGAGGTTAGTCTTTTCAGTTTAAACTTATTTTCATATCTCTATTTGAACAAGAACAACTTTTTTTTTTTTTAAACATTAGTCATTTATCCATGAGAGACACACACAGAGAGAGGCAGAGACACAGGCAGAGGGAGAAGCAGGTTCCATGCAGGAAGCCCAATGTGGGACTCGATCCTGGGACCCCGGGATCACACCCTGAGCTAAAGGCTGATGCTCAACGCCTGAGCCACCCAAGCGTCCCAAGTACAACTTTTTAAACCAAAAACTATGACTTAAATTCTGATTTAAGCTCAGTTATAAGAAAGATACCTGAAAATGCCATAAAACCAAAAGGTAGAACTTGTTACTGAGTAAATCCTCTTTGGGTCCTTCGAACTTCATTCCTGCATAGGTCAGAACTGAAACCATGATCCCTGAGCAGCTGTAAAATCATTAACAGGGGTCGCCTAGTGGCTCAGTGTCTGCCTTCAGCTCAGGGCATGGTCCCAGAGACCCGGGATTCAGTCCTACGTTGGGCTCCACTGGAGCAGCCTGCTTCTCCCTCTATGTCTCTGTGTCTCTCTCTGTGTCTCTCATGAATAAACAAATAAAATCTTTTAAAAAAATCATTAATGGCACGGATTAAAAGTCATTAGGAGGATGATCCCCCCCCCCCCCGGAAAAAATTGGTTAACCCATCTTCACTGCCAGGCCCTCTGCTCTACAAGGAATGAAACAGAGCGGGCTTGACCTTGGCTGATGAGAAGGCTGAAAATATTTTTCAGGGCTTAAAAATTTCAAAACCCAAATACAGTTTCCAAAACCAAAGAAGCAGCTGAATAAACTTTCAGATCAGGCCATTTTAAAAGCCACGATGTCTAATGTTACCAGAAGAGCCTCCCCTCCACCTACTTCAGTTACAACTTCAGCAGTTCCTGAGCACAGACACGGCTGCTTGTGCATTTCTAAACTTAGACATAATGGAATTAGTTCTCAGAGGGAAAACCATGACTCAGTGCGCAAGCCTCAGAAAGAGTGACGGTGGCATGGCCTGGAGGTCAACAGAAGCTCACACTGGGAGGATGGAAGGACTCTGATAACTAGGAGACAAAGGTCAAGGAGAGAATGATGATGTAGAAATGACAGTGAAAAGTAAGGTTATTTGCAGCCACATTTTCTTCTTGCCTCTAAAACAGGAAGAAGGTATGAGAAGGCCGGAGACACACTGTGAAGCTCTTGCATGTGTTCCGAAGACATGGAAGTCATGCAGACTTAGCATGTCTGTTCAAGAAGAGACCCAGTTCCTTTTTTTAATTTTTTTATTTTATTGTATTTATTTATTCATGAGAGACACAGGGAGAGGCAGAGACACGGGCAAAGGGCGAAGCAGGCTCCATGCAGGGAGCCCGATGTGGGACTCCATCCTGGGTCTCCGGGATCACGCCCAGGGCTGAAGGTGGCGCTAAACCACTGAGCCCCAGCTCTTAAAATTCTGGAGTAAGTGGTACCAGTATACTGCTTTGTAGCAGCTAGTCTTGCTGTTGTCTACACACAAAATTATTTCATTACTTATTCCCAAAGGAACGTAACCATACCTTTCTCATTATTCGAGAAGAGAGATCATTTAATTTATGCTAAGATCCTGAATTTAAACAGCATATTAGGGACGCCTGGGTGGCTCAACGGTTTAGCGCCGCCTTCAGCCCAGGGCATGATCCTGGAGTCCCAGGATGAGGTCCCACATTGGGCTCCCAGCATGGAGTCAGCTTCTCCCTCTGCCTATGTCTATGCTTCTCTCTCTGTGTGTCTTTCATAAATAAATAAAACCTTTAAAAAATTAATAAACGCATATTATGTTCTGTTGTCCGTGTCTGAAAATATGGTGTGTCCTGTTTCTCTTCCTCTCATCCTTTCCCTCTCCTCTTGTCTACACGTCTGTCTCTGTCAAGCTCTCTATTTCTGTGTATCATTATGATCGGTTCATGCTGTGGCTAAAAAGACGAATGGGAACCCAACCATATTTTTCCATACTTAGCAGTAAAGATGGTATTGGCCAAATACAGTTTTAAGACTTTGTTTTTTCAACAAATCTACTATACATGCACATTTTTCTAAGCATTGGGAATGCAAAATGATGATGTTTGGAAGAAACCTGCAGATAAATATGTATATCACAAGATAAAGTAATGTGGTTTAGAGAGGTCTCTAGGCCTCAGAGAGAGAAAAACTGACTTGGACCTCTATGTTAGAGTAGGATCTTTGTCCCACACAGAAAAATAAATAATCTGGAGGGGTATGAAGTATATGGGAATGAACAGCAGGAGGCCTCAAGAGTTACTTGGGTCATGCTAAAAAGTTTGGGTTTTATCCTGGTGGCAATGAGGAGCCTCCAAAGTTTTAATTTTTTTTAACTTTTTTATTTTGAAAAAATAAAATCACCCATATTCACCAGTTGCTAATATTTTGCTACATTTCCTTTATTTCTCTGTAAGTGTATTTATTTGTAATCTTTTTACTCTGCTGAAATATTTGAAAATTAGACATACTGGTCCTTTACCACTAAATCCTTCAGCATGGATCTGCTAAGAATAGGAACATTCTTTGATAACCACAATCCATTATCATACCTACATGATTATTATGAACTATTACATAGTCCATATTCAAATTTCCCAATTACCCCCATAATTTCCTTTGTGCCTGGTTTTTTTTTTTCCAATCTAAGATTCGATCAAGGATAACACATTGAATTTAATTGTGAAGTCTTCTCTAATCTAGCATAATCCCCCACCGTTCCCCCCTGCCCCTTCATGACAATGATACTTGGTAAGAATCTAGGCTAACAGTCTTAGAGAAGTTTCTACAAGCTGGATTTGTCTGGTTGTTTGCTAGTGATTAGATTCACATTAACCATTTCTGGCAAAAGAACCACACACTTTCACTGCATCACATCAAGAGGCACACCCCAGTTTTTAAGCACAGATTTTTAAGGCATGGAAACAGTTCCTCCTTAGATCTGTGTGTTAGATAAGTTTGGCTAGATTTTTCGCCAAATATTTCTAGTAAACTAGAATGAAAAAAGAATTTGTATTCTCTCACTCTCTCCCTAGATGTTCTTGACATGATGTTCTTATTCTTCCAACAGATACAGGATAACATATATCCCTCTTAAATTGACTATCAGTCACATGACTATGTCAACTCATGACAGCATAAGCATCGAGTGAAAATAATTTGGCTGTAGGCATTCATTGAATAATTGATTCCAAATACAACAGCATATTAAGCTTTTATTTATTTATTTTTCCATATTAAGCTTTTAAATTACACAGAACTATGGCTTTGCTATCACACAAAAGACGTTAACATAGTCTATCTACTTTTAGCTAAAGCCACTGACAAGGCATTATTCTCATTCCAAAGGTTGTTTTAGTTCTTGGCTTTAAACAGTATTTAATATGTCTTATAAAGGATATACAGTAAAGGAGAATCTACTTTTTCTTAAAGGAATTCAAATCAGCATAATGAGAGAACAGGACTATCTTAAGAACTAAAATAAGAATTCCCAATTTTGACTGTATGGTTGAAAAAGGTACTTTTATGCTTTCCTCACAGCATTGTGCGTACAGATATATATATATATATATATATATATGCATATATATATTTTTAAAAATATGTATTTATAAAAAAATTTAAATATATTTATATATTTAATATGTTAAGTAGTAAATATTTGATAAGATAAATAAACATATTTATATATTTAATATGTTATGTAGTAAATATTTGATCAGATAAATTAAAAAATCCTTAAGAAGTTAATGAAAAAGTCATACCTGAGTAAAAATATTATGTGTTTGGCTTAAAATCCACCTGGCATCAGCATCAGGGGCTACTACTAATTTCAAGGTCCCAACGTAAACATCGGAACATAAGGTCCAGAAGTGCTGCTCTTGTAAACTGTAAACTCCTTGCAACTGCTGCACCTGAAACAGAAAAGGCAGATATGAACATTGCAATCAAATACAAGGGCCCCCTCATTTTATTATGTATGCTGTTTTATTATTATTATTATTATTCCATAGTTCGGTAAATTGCTATTTAGATTATTAACTATAATACTATTAAATTATTATGTAATATATCAGAAAATACAGATTCTATTCCCTAGTTCAAAGGAGGGGTCAGAGATTGCTTTAATTAATTAACAAATACTAATTGAGTACTTATTATGTGCCATGGCAGGTGTTTGTGAATAATCACAAAATTTGCAGGGTACAGCTGAGACAGCTCCTAGATGGAAATTTACATTTTCACGTACATTGATCAGAGAACATGTATAAACACAAAAGAGCTGAGAAACGAGAAGAATAACAACCCAGTAAACTCAGAGAAATAGGAAGGAAGGAAATAACAGAAATCAATGGTCCAGAGATTTAGAAACTATCAGAATTTACAGTATCAAAAAACTTGTTCTTTGGAAGATCAAGGAAGTAGAGAAGTCAGTGCTTCTCAAATGGAACATATTTTGAACAGGACGGTTCTTCCCTGTGTCAGAAACTACAGGACCCTCTGCATCCCCAAGCCCCCAAGGAGCTAAATGCCAACATACACCCTTCTCTGAATCAAGCAACAACAAAAAGAAGAGGGACATCTCTCAGTGTTTCCAGTGGTTCCTTACAGTTTCCATAACCGAAGGCTGACAACCACTGACAAGACAAATTCCAATGGAGGTTAAAAAACAAAAACAGAAAGCAGAATGAAAAAAGGAGAACGGCTACAAACAACGGATTTTAAAAACCATAAAAGGGAATATTATATGAATGTGTAGCTTGTGAATGAATATACAAAGTATCTCCACTAAAAGTGGAATCCAAACAAATTCTCACCGCCTCTACTGCTATCAGCCCAGCTGAAGGCAGCATTATCTCTCGTCTGGATTATTATAACAGAGCCAGTGTAATAATATTGTAGTGTAAACCCGGTGTGTCTCTGGTCTGGAACTTCTCCCATCTATTCTCCTCACAGTATCCCTGGTGCGATCCTGCTACTTTAGGTCAGATGCTGCCACTTGTCTGTTCAAAAATCCTCCAATGGCTTCCCACCTTACTCTGAATGAAAATCAAAGCGTGCACAACGACTTACATGGACCCGTTGTCACATGACTTGCTTGTTTTCTAATCACATGCTCTCCTACTCCGCGTCCCCTTGCTCCTTCTTCCTTAGCTAAACCAGCCTCCTCACCATTGGCTGAGAAGTCTGGCACACTCGTGCCTCGGAGCACTTGCCATTCCCTCTGCCTGAAGTGTCCTTCCTTCCAGATTTCTACTCAGTCCACTTTGTTTGGGTTTTTTACTTGGATGTCATCTTCTCAGTCAGTTACTGTAACTCTCGTACTCTTGGTATTCTCTTACTTTACTTAAAATAATGTTTTCACTTTTATGTTTCTCTGCTTTGTTTTGCTTTATGGAGCATAATCTCACACACTGCATTATTCATTTATCATTTAGATTTTTTATTGCCTGTCTCTCCAGCAGAACTTAAGCTTGATAAGGGCAGGGATTTATTTTTATTCTTTTTATGTTTTGTATCCTTAGCATCTAAAACTGTGCCTAACCCAAGTAAGTGCTTGGTAAATTGTGTGTATAATATATATACAATATACAGTATATATATAATACACACACGCACACACAAAACCCCACAATTTGAAAACCCAGACAAAATGGATAAGTTTCTGGAAATGTAGAAAATGCCATTACGAGAAAAAAATAGAAAATGTGAAAGACCATTAAAAATTGAAAAGGTAAAAAACCCCTGAAAAGGTAGAGGTTAATATACAAAATATAAAAAGAACTCACACAACTCAATAGTAAAAAACCAAACTATTTGATTGAAAAATGGACAGAGGATCAGAATAGACATTTTTTCCAGAGGAGATATACAGATAGCCAACAGTGAAAGGTGCTCAACTCACTAATCATCAGGGAAATGCAAGTCAAAAACCACAATGAAATACCACCTCACACCTGTTAGAATACCTATTAACAAAAAGATGAGATCTTTTCAATTCTGAGATTCTCTAATTTTTAAGCAGCCTATTTGGGATGTTAATTAAAAAGTTGAACTGAGATCTAACAAACATATTCATTTTTATCAGAATTTGATGAATATAGGCATTATTTTCTATAAACTCCTAAGCAGTTGGTAGGAAATTTGAGACAACACCCACTGTGCCCTTTTTAAAATGCTTTTACTGGGAAAAGGTCAAGGTGGACTTCTTCTCTTTCAGGACTCTGATGACATAGTGGCTTGAACCTGCTATCACCCTACATTTTTCTGAATGGCATCCTCATGGGATGGTCTCTGTGAATGAAACAACCAACTAAATATAAATAGAGCTCTTCTGCCTCTAAGAATGCAAGTCCTCTTGTAGTTAAGACTAAGCAATGTTCCTATACAAACTGGCTTTAACTCTCCTCAAGTTAAAAAATAGGGGAAAGCATAGTTATAGAAGCTTTTCCTATTCTGACAGTGGGTAAAATAGAAAGGGCATGAGCTTCCGAATTAGATGGATATGGACTGGAATCCTGGTTCAGCACTAGCATTTGTTTGCTTTTTTTTTTTTTTTTAAGATTTTATTTATTCATTCATGAGAGACAGAGAGAGAGAGAGGCAGAGACACAGGCAGAGGAAGAAGCAGGCTTCATGCAGGGAGCCCGACGTGGGACTCGATCCTGGGACTCCAGGATCACGCCCCAGGGCCAAAGGCAGGCACTAAACCGCTGAGCCACCCGGGCTGCCCAGCCACTAGCATTTGTGACTTTGCATGAGTTACTTAAATTCTCTAAACCTCAATTTTACTATAGAAAGAAAAATAAAACTTAGCCTGTGTGGATGTAATGAAGACCAGAAATGATATACACAAAACAATTAGTACAGGGAGCAGCTTATAGTAAGCATCCATAAACTGCCCCTTTCTCTTCCACAGTTATGATGACTACCCTACCTTAAAATCATAACCCAAATGTCAAATGGGCAACAATTCAGTTTCCCTATCTCAAAAAAACCCCTTTTACACCTTCTCCTTTTTCCTCTGGCATTCTAATCTTTTTGATTACACTCCCTTATAAATGATAAAACAGAAGTACATAAAAAAAAAATCCCTTATCCTGTACCACCAAATCCACCAGTTGATCCTCAAATATGTCAGCACTTTCTGCCTCTCTTCCAGGGATATGCCATCCCTGGCTCCCATCTACACTGAATAGTTCTCACAGTGCTTTTGGTTCTATCTTTTTTTTTTTAAGAGAGTGAGTGAGAGAGCATGTAAGTGGGGAGGGAAGGCAGGAAGGAGGGGCAGAGAGGGAATCTGAAAGGCTCTGTACCTACTCGGAGTTTAAACAGCCCGCCACCCTGAGATCATGACCTGAGCTGAAATGAAGAGTTGGCTGCTTAACTGACTGAGCTATCCAGGTACCCATGGTTCAATCCTTTTTCATCTTCTCAAGAGCTTCATTCTTGGCAAACTTTACTAACGTATCATCAATTTCTTTCTCTAGGATGGCCCTTTCCTATCAATAACAAACATGCTCCAGAACTGCACTGTGTAATATGGAAACCACCAGACACATATGGCTGTTTAAATAATTTATGAGAATTAAAATACATTAAAAAATCAGTTGTGCTAGCCTTACATCAGGTGCTCAACAGCCACATTTTGCTTGTGATTTTCATACTGGGCAGTGTAGAGTATACAGTATTTCTGTTATTGGGGAAAGTTCTATGGGATAGCACTACTCTAGAATCTCCTATTTTAAAAACAAACAGCCACTGCTCTGATACTACGTCCATACTCAGGCTGCCAACTCACTTATTTGCTTCCTTTAACAACAACACTTCTTAAAAGAGTTGTCTGTAGTTACCATTCATTTTCTCCTTAAGCTACTCAAATCATGCTCTCCTCTCCAAACTCCTCTGAAACTGGTCTCATCAAGGTCATTAGCTGAGTTCACGAAGTCGGTTGATGATTACTCTCCATTCCTACCTTGCTTGCTCTACAGAAAGTGGACTACTGCTTCCTTCCTCAGCTCTGAGAGACTCCGCTCTTCTGGTTTTCCAGCTCCCTTCCTAGCCACTCCTTTTCCTGCCTTTCCACCACCTGTGCTGTAAACCTGGAGCTGAAAGGAGAGCTAAAAAGAAGATAGCTTAATTCTCCCAAGGGAATCTCACATAATCCTCATATTTTAAAAATTATTCACTTATTGATGCTTCAAAACTCTTCCTAGTATTAATCTGTCTCTAAAACACCGGATTCGTATATCCCACTACTTCACTGACATTTTCCCTGGGAATATAGCAGGCATTTCAATTTTAACATATCCAGAATAGAACTCTTGATTTGAGGGGATTTTCCATCCTCAAACCTGCATCAACACAACCTTAACCCTAGCAAATGGTACCAGCATCTACCTAGTTGACAGTCAACACTTTTTCTCCCCTCCATTAATATAATCCATCTCTAAAAATTTATCCCAGATGTGTCCTTACCTCCATATTCACTACTCCCTCTGTAGTCCTAACCACCATTTCTCCCCACTTAGATGACAAGAGCTTTATAACTGATTTTCTTTGCTTTCATTCTCTCTAGAATTTGTTCTCCAGTAGCAAGCAGAATAATCTTTTAAAAACATTAGTTTTATGACACTCTCCCTGCCTAAAAGCTTTCTAGTACTTCCCACTGGATTAAAATTAAATCTAAACCTCCTAGTAAGACCACAACCTCTGTACGATCTGGCCCCATTCTTTCCAGCCACTCATCCCTTTATTGATAATCCTTTAGCCACAGTGGCTTTTTCTTCTGTTCTTCACAACTCTAAATGAGTTCCAGCTGTAGAACTTCTGCATTAGCATAAAGTGTTCCTTTGCCTGAAAACACTGTTCTCCAGGATTTTCGTAAGGCTGGCTCCTTCTTGTCATCAAGGTTTCAGTTTTCTTTAATATGACTTCCTGAGTGAATCTAAGGTAATCATCCATGTCTACCATATGACTTTGTTTTATTTCAGTTACAGTAACTATCATGGATATTTTCTTATTTATCAATTTATTGCTTAGTGCCTGTTTTTCCCCACTAGATCGTAAACACTGACACAGACACACCGTCTGTCTTGCTTATCCTTCCTTATACCCTTAGTACCTTATTAGGATATCTGAGACGAAGTAGGAACTCAAAAAAATATGTTGAATAAATACTTATACCATCTGGAATTTGTATCTATATTTTAAAAGAACTGTTCAAATTCTAAGTGAGGACAATTTCTACCACATTTTCTTTAGTAAAGCTCAATATTTTCCAATGATTTTATTCTGGTTTGTATAAATGGCACTCATGGTTAGTATTCAATCTTGGAAGAAATACTAAATTATACACATATGCTACCCATATTTGTAAAAGTTAAAAACCCTAAGAGCCTGGAAACAACATAAAATCTAATGGTTTGGAAGCTCTGAAACTTACCCTCTGATAGCACTGAGGCAGAGTATTTTCCAACAATGGAGGAGTTCTCTGCATTAATATTCCAACAGACTCTCTTAAAAGAGGAATAACACTAAAGAAAAGAAAGAAAAAATTTATTAAAGCTACATTCTGACAATCCTATTCTGCAAGAAAGTAATAATGTAACTCTCTATATTAGAATATAACAAGATTTATCAGAACAGTATGAGGAAAAAGCAGATAGTCTTTCTAAATTTTTCATGTGATCACTAAGTTTTTTCTTAAATAAAAGAGCCAGATAAAATGCATCAATGTATAAAACACGAAACCATATTACTGAATAGTATTGGAACATCTAAAAATCTAAACATAGCAGTTACTCAACTGCTATCTAAAATATGGCTTCAATTGGCCAGAATCTTCCACAGTAATCCATAAGGCATATCATGGCTGACTGGTCCTTAATGTTTATCAAATATTTACATGTATGTAACTGAATAGCATGTAAAGGAATACACAAAAAAATTAATATGGTACATCAATCCATTCATCTAATATTTTTACAACTCAATTATATATCAGTCTTTTTTTAATTAAAAAATTTTTTTAAAGATTTTGTTTATTCATTCATGAGAGACACACACAGAGAAAAAGAGGCCAGACAGAGGCAGAGAGAGAAGCAGGCTCCCCGTTAGGAGCCCAGTGTGGGACTTGATCCTGGATCCCAGGATCTTACCCTGAGCTGAAGGCGGACACTCAGCTGCTGAGCCACCCAGGTATCCCTTATTTTTCTTTAATTTTTAAAAATTTATATCAGTCTTCTTTCATGATTTAAAAAATACATGGGCAGCCCGGGTGGCTCAGGGGTTTAGCGCCACCTTCAGCCCAGGGCCTGATCCTGGAGACCCGGGATCTAGTCCCATGTCGTGCTCCCTGCATGGAGCCTGCTTCTCCCTCTGTCTGTGTCCCTGCCCACCCCCCCGCCCCCTCTGTGTCTGTAATGAATAAATAAAATATTTTAAAAAAATAAAAAATACAGAAGCCTGGATATAACCACAGATCTAAGTGTATCAACACCTTTAGTGATAGGGCCCAAATGTCTGTATTGATGCAGCTAGTCTTCCAGCAGTATGTGGAAATTACTGCTTTAAGCTATTTGGATAAATGTACAGAAACAATTAACAGTATAATGATGAGAGTGACTCTAATGCAATAGTTCTCTTAGTATCTAGACATCAAATTCACCTTACTCTTATTTGTTTTCATTTCTGACATATTAGATCAGAATCTTTCAGAGAAGGTCAAGGCATCTGGTTTTAAAAAGCTCTCCACATGATTCCAGTGAGTCAGGGTGGCAAGGCACTGCTCTACCCATACTGAGAGAAAGGTCAGACATAGCTTCCTTAACGTAATAGCTTAAGCTAGTGTTCTCTTTTACACTTGGAGAATCTCAAAATTTCCAAAGTAAAACCCCTCCTAGTTACAGCTGTAGGAGATGGATATAAAAGGAACATATATACATTTCAAGAAAGGCAGAAGTTAAAATGTACCACACAAATTAGTAATATTTCTTTTTTAAGAAATTGTTATTTAAGTAACCACTACACCTAATATGGGGCTCGAACTCAGGACCCCTAGATCAAAGTCATATATTCCTGTGACTGAGCCAGCCAGGTACTCCCAAACTTAGTGATATTTCTGACAGGTGGAAAGGAAAAGAAGACATTAAAAGAACGAAGACAATGAGAACAGAGACAGTGTTCGTCTTGTTCACAATTATATTCCCAAGGAAGCCAAGTAAAGTTCTGGGCAGAAAGTGGGCCCACAATAAATACCTGTTGGTTAAATCAATGATAGGTATATAAATATTAGATGCTTGAGAAATCTAGACTGAAGATAGGCAATGGCTACAGGGAAACAATTACAAGTCCACTCCCACACTTTCTGTGCACAGTGATAAGTACTTGGATAATGAGTAAGACAGGAACAGAAACAACTAGGAAAATCAAACAGATACTGAGAGAAATAACTGGTGTCTCACTGGATATAGTGAAGAAATAGTGAAGCAGGCAGGGATGCCTGAGTGGTTCAGCGGTTGAGCATCTACCTTTGGCTGAGGGTGCGATCCCAGTCTGGGGATTGAGTCACACATTGGGCTCCCTGTAAAGAGCCTGCTTCTCCCTCTGTCTATCTCTCTTCCTCTCTCTCTGTCTCTCATCAACAAATAAATAAATAAAATCTTAAAAAAAAAAAGAAAAGAAATAGTGAAGCAATATCAAGAGACAAAATCCGAAAGACAAGAAGTGTGGAGGGAATGGCAGTAGTGAAGATGAAAAACTCAATGCAGATAGGTTAAGTCACATTCAAAATGAAAACATTCTTTAGTCAGATTAAGAGCTAAGAATCATTAGATGCCACCCTTCAATCCTCCTTCTCCCTTAAAACTCCCATGCTCTAAATCACCAAGTTCTCATGATGTAACATCCTAAATACTTCCTGACTCCATTCCCTCCCCTTCATTCTACTACACGTCTACAATAATCTCATCTTCACTTGGGTTATTATAATAGCCTCCCAAGTGGGCCATTTTTGCCTCTAGTCTTATTTCAAGTCCACTGTGATCGGCAGCTTCAAAGATGGATCCCAATGGCCCATGCCTCCCTAGTACTCATGTTCATGTGTAATCCTCTACTCTTGAGTGTGGACTGGACCTTGCACTTGCTGCTAATGAAAAAAGTACAGCAAAAGTGACAAGATGACACTTCTAAAATCAGATTAAAAGACTCTGCCGCCTTCCATCTTGTTCACTCTTTTCACTCTTGGCTGTCATGCTCTGAGCTATTCTACAGAGAGGCCCAAGTGACAAGGCACTGCAGGATGCCTCTGGAGAGGAATGGAGAGCCTCAGTCCAATAGCACAAAAGGAACTCAATACTTTCAACAACCACTTCAGTGAGCTTAGAAGTGGATTCTCTCCCAGATGAACCTTGGAATGATTGTAGCCCTGGCTGCCACCTTATGAATGACCCTGAGCCAGAGAGCCTTGTTGGCTATGAGCAGGTTCCTGAGCCAAGATAAACTATAAGATAACGCCTGTTATTTTGGCTACTAGGTTTTTGTATAATTTGTTATGTATCCTTAGATAACGACTACAACCATTCTTTATAATCCCTTCCCCATTAAAAGAATCCCATAAAAGCTCCTCAATACCTTGGGGATTAAATGTAAACTCTTTAAAATGGCTGCCTCGCCTAGCTAGCTGCCCTTCCTATCAATTCTCGCTTCACATTTAAAGCCCCCCCCCCTTTTTTTAAAGATTAAAAAAAGATTATTTGAGAGAGAGACAGCAAGCAAGAGCACAAGCAGTGGGTAGGTTCAGAGGAAGAAGGAAAAGCAGACTCTCCACTGACCAGGGAGCCTGATGTGGGGCTCAATCCCAGAATCCTGGGATCATGACCTGAGCTGAAGGCAGACGCTTTACCAATGAAGCTACCCAGGAGTCCCATATTTTAAGCCCTCTAAACAAACACATTTGCACTTTACTTTTGGCTGTTCCTTCTTTTTATGCTTTGTTCATGCTGTCAGCTCTGCCTAGAATGTTCCTAAACTGCCCTACTCTGGCTTCTATTCTTTTTTTAAAGTCTCAAGTGTCACCCCTTCTAGGATATATTTCCTGATCCCAAACTGCTCTCCAAACTTTATGAAATGTCCTCTCTGTGCTCCTAAAAAAAAAAAGTTCTGATGCCTAAGGTAATGTTAGAGGGAAAAAAAATGAGGAAATGGATAGAAACTGGAAGCGGGATTAAGGATTTGACAGTAAAAGAATATCAGTTATTCCTTCATCTGACCTGAAGAGCTGCGTTTGTTCCTATCTATTGGTATTATACAGGTAAGGATGCCCTGGGTTTATAAAAAAGACAAAGAAAAACATGATGGTAGTTTCACAACATACAATTCAACCATTATGACATTTTTCTTTCCTCTCTCCATCATTTCTCAGGAAAAAGGAAGGGATCAGTCATGGAATGTTTTTATATCTAACTTACAATTTTTATGTTTTCCTACTTTCCTTACTGTACTTTTTAGAAAGTGAAGCACCAAAATGGTCCTCCTAGAATAAGAAAAAAGTTTGAGAAAATAGAGGGGTTTTTATGACTGTCTAGGAGGCATATAGAAAAATTAAACTATTCTGATAATTTCCTCTTCAATCTTTATCCCAAGGAACTGCTAATGATGCCGGAAGATATCTGAGGTGCAAAATACACTCAAATAGAAAACATGATACTTGGGTTCTAATTCTGCCATTAAATAACTGGACAAATTGCACAGCCTTCTAGAGCGTCAGTTTTCTCATCTGTAAAACAAGGAAGTGGATTAAATAGGCAATTTCTTCCATCTTCATTTTTCATTTGATAAGAAAAAAATGGTCAAACTACAAGGAATACTAGTGCAAGAATATATGTAGAAATGAAAGAAAAGGTTACTTTATATATCAAAAAAGGGTATCATAACTTTTGTAATACCTAATATTTTAGAATACCTAGGTACAGTCTAATTTTTCTAACTTTTGGGTGAGCTAAAACACAATAAAGAGATGTCCAAGTTTTAATAATCCTTGAAGAGATCAACCTTCAAACCTTAAGGACATTCTCCTAATAGTCTCTTAAGTCATCCAGAACCATCTATAAATTTATTCAAACCTTTTTTTTTCTCCTAAGATTTTATTCATTCATGAGAGACACAGAGAGAAAGAGAGAGGCACAGACACAGGCAGAGGGAGAAGCAGGCTCCATGTAGGGAGCCTGACGTGGGACTTGATCCCAGGTCTCAATCCTGGGATTACACCCTGGGCTGAAGGCAGCGCTAAACCACTGGGCCACCCAGGCTGCCCTTATCCAAACCTTTGTTCAAATTTTTATGTCTATATTCTGTGTATGTTGCCTCCCGAGCCAGATACTCCCTGACACCACATCTGTTTAAAATGGAAGGAAAGAAGGAAGGAAACAAGGAAGAAGGAAGGAAGGAAGCAAGCAAGCTATATTTTCCCTTTTCTCATAAAATTTATTTTCACATGTGAACCTTAGTTTGAAGATTCTAGAACTGGTGAAGTTCC